AAAAACAAACAACCCAGTGAAGAAATGGGCAGAAGACATGAACAGACACTTCTCCAAAGAGGACATCCAGATGGCCAACAGACACAGGAAACGATGCTCAGCATCCCTCCTCATCAGGGAACTACAAATCAAAACCACACTGAGATACCACCTCACGCCAGTCAGAGTGGCTAAAATGAGCAAATCAGAGAACTCTAGATGCTGGCGAGGATGTGGAGAAACGGGCACCCTCCTACACTCTTGGTGGGAATGTAAACTGGTGCATTCTGTAAACTGCTCCCCTCTGGAAAACAGTGTGGAGGTTCCTCAGGAAATTAACAATAGAACTCCCCTATGACCCAGATATAGTACTGCTAGGAATTTACCCAAGGGATACAGAAATACTGATGCATAGGAGCACATGTACCCCAATGTTCATAGCAGCACTCTCCACAATAGCTAAAACATGGAAAGAGCCTAAGTGTCCATCCATGGACGAATGGATCAAGAAGATGTGGTTTATCTATACCATGGAATACTACATGGCAATGAGAAAGAATGAAATCTGGCCATGTGTAGCAACATGAATGGACCTTGAGGGTGTTATGCTGAGCGAAATAAGTCAGGCAGGGAAGGACAAATATCATATGTTTGCACGTATAGGAGGATTAGGAGGAACTTAGAACCATCGGGGAGAAGAAGGGGGGAAATGGTGGGGGAAAGGGAGAGAGGCAAACCATGAGACTCTTGAATACTGAGAAACAAACTGAGGACTGATGGATGGGGGGGGGGGAGATGGGCATGGAGGAGGGCACTTGTGGGGATGAGCACTGGGTGTTACATGGAAACCAACTTGACAATAAACTATTTGTAAAAAATTTAAAAAAAAAGTTCATTTCTGGGAAAGCCAGAACTTTAATTCAGTCTCAGTTTGGGACTGAGTCTATGGGGGACTCCGTTTGGAACTGTTGTCTGGATTTTAACAGTGATCACTATGCTGTTTTTCCACTAGGCAAGCTTATTAGAATCTTTTAAAACTAAAAGCAGTATTCTAAAAATATATGCAGTGGTACTAACTGGCAAGTATTTATATAAATTACCACATAATTTTCAGTTCTCCAGACACGAGGTCACAAGTGACAGAAAGGAAAAGTTTAATGATCACTGAGAAATTACTATATGCCAGGCTTTACCTTCTTTCTCTTCATTATCTTATTTAACTAGGAAGCCTATGAAATGCGTTGTTATTTGCATATATGCCAGTGATAAACCTGAGACTTAAGGAAGTCAGGTATCCAAAATTACTTGGCTAGTAAGTGCAAAAACTGAGATTTGGACTTGGGTTGGACTCCAAAGTCATGCTCTTAAAAAGAGAATGATGAACATTATGTACATTGTGTTCTTTAGAGTTAAAAATTCTGAAACTAGACAGAAGATGAAAACCACTTAGAGTGTTGCTCAACAAGTCTTCTTAATCAGACGTCATTATTATTGCCTCACTTACCCTTCTTTTAAAAAGAAAGGTCCAAAGATAAAGAACTAAATATGGGGACAGACCTAATCATAAACTTCTCTTACTGTGTGAAAAGTAAAAATGATTGACTATTCCCTTTGTGTTCCACAGCTGAGGAAAGCCCTTGATGAAGCCAACTTCAGATCAGTGGAAGTAACCCGTACCAACCGAGAGCTGCGGCAGAAGCTCACAGAGCTGGAGAAGATCCTGAACACTAGCAAGGAGAAAATAAAGAATCAAAAGGCCCAAATTAAGCTCCACTTGTCGACTAAGGCGAATAATACTCAGAATGTAGAGAGGATGAAGGTTGTATGAGAAACATTCAGTCTCCCCTTACTTCCCTCATATCTGAGGAGGATCTATGCAGGTGGTGGGGTCTGGTGAAGATGGCCCAGAGTACTAACAGCTACACCTGGGGAGTGGGCGGACTATCTTTTTCCAGCAGAGACACTGCTGTGTGAATGTTTGATTTCTCCTTAACTGCCATGTCAATTTCTGGCCCCTCATCTGCCTCTTCCAAGGTGATCGTACAGGATTTTGCTCTTTCAGGGTCAGGGGGCCAGATGGAAAGGAGCCTAGCAGGAGCTGATAACTGTGGGTCTCCTATGGGATTCTTTCTGTCATCCTGTGGGCAAAAAGAACAAGCTCGTTTCTCCACTGATCGTCTTTCTATGTTATTTCCACATTTCCTTTCAGCAAATAGAAACAGAATTGAGGCAAATGGAGCTAATTAAGGATCAGTATCAGAAAAAAAATTATGAACAGGTAGATGAAACTACAAACTTTGTTTGCTATTCACAGAAAATCTCAGACTTGGACAGGTTCACCAACTGCTTCCCTCTTTGTGCCCTCCCAGTCACTGAGTATCCAGAAATTTGTATCTGAAATGACTAACCTGCAGAAAGAGATGCAGCTGTTGGCCAAGAGCCAGTATGAGACCTCAGCACGGAATAAACAGCAGGAGCTGCGGCTGGAGACAGAGCGGAAGATAAGGCAGGAACTGGAGAACCGGTGCCAGGTGAGAAGTTCCCTCGGGTCCATCTCAGAGATAGTCAGCAGCTGGCTCGTCCTGAAACCTAGTGTCAGAGCACGTAGGTTTTCTCGATTCTGTAGA